TTTTCTTTCATGAACTCATAGAGCTCCATCATGTCCGCGATCCCCAGAAGGTCGGCATGGCGCTGCGTTTCGAAGGCCTTGAGGCGATCCCGTACCGTCTTCAAGGCCCTCTGGAAGAAATCCCGAGCCTCCGTCCTCATCACCGCCCATTCCTCCTCCTCCGTCTTCAAACGCGCCATCTGCTCCTCTCCTTCCTGGACCCGCGCCGCAAACCCCACCTCTATCGCGGCCTGCGCCTTTTCCAGCTCCTCCCACGCCCCTTGCCTCTCCTCCACCTTTCTTCGCAGTTTCTCAATCTCTTCTTCCACGCCTTCCCTCACGCGCTCTCTGACAAGCGCCACGTCCGAATCGAATTTCCCGGCCATCAGCTGCAAGTCCTCCTCCGCCCGCGCCGCTGTAGGCTTCACCGTCCTTTCCACGTGGCGCCGCATGTCTTGCAATGCCTTGAACTCACGCCTCCTCCGCAGAAAGCGGGCTAAGGCCTTCTTCCGTGTCCCTTCGTTTTCCTCCACCCAACCGCGCATTCCCTCCACCAGCTTGGGCACGACCCGGGAAGCCCATTCAAAATTTTCGCGCTGCTCCCTGTCTTCCTCCAATAGCGTCGGGACGTACTCGCGGGCCAGAGTCCGGTACCCTGCTGCTTGCTCCTGCACGGTGCGAGCAATAATCTCGACCGTCTCCAGAAACGCTACCCGGCGGAGGTGGGCAAGAGCTGCGGGCAGCTCCCGGTCCTGCAAAGAGGGGGACTGGCTGCTGAGCCCGCTCTTGCTGCTTTTGCTGCTTTTGCTGCTGCTTTTATTGTGGGCGGCATTGTCGCTCAATTTAGGGTCCGTGCGAAGCAGCAATTCTCGAATGCGCCGTTGGTTTTGGGTTTGCTGGATTTGAAGCTCGCAGCGCCGAGACAAAAGCTCTAGCTGTCGTTCCTTTTCCACGCACAACCAAACTTTGGAAGCGCTGAGACTTTCCTGTGTCTTGAGCAAATGCTGAAGGAGCGCAAAAAATTGTGCCCGCTTTCCCTGTAGTGCTTCTCGTTTGTCGAGGGCGCGAACCAAGGGCCCGTTGCCCCTGTCAAGGTCCATGTACGCCTTGAGCTGCTCCTGAAAAGCTGCCAACTTCACTTGCGCGTGCTGAATGGTAGCTGGAGCAGCATTTACACCGCGAGTGCTTCCACTCGGAATGGCGGCTTTGACTCGGGAAGGGGGCCGGGGATACGGGTAGGAGGGCCCCTCTACTGTGCTGCATTCCGACGCTCGGCGCCGCCCGGTGGTGACCGGGGGCCGCAACATGACGGTGCTCCTGTAACTTCCTGAATGTGCCAGTGTCATGGCACGTGAGTGAGGCGAGAAGAGCCAAAGAGAGAAAGCCGGAGGCAGGCGCCGGCCGTGCTGCTGCCTAGCTGGTTGGTTGATTGTATCGCTATTTCCCACACGTCGTTTTCTGGCGACTGGAATTAAGTTTTCTACCACGTCCCACGCGCCAGCCTGCTTTTACGTCTATCTATTTCTGACGCATCATGTTCACAGAGCACGGTTCCGGGCGAAGATTTTCCATGGAGCAAGCCATCATCAAAAGCGCGAGACGCATTCAGTCCTCTTTGTTGTCCACAGCAGGCCGTTGGAGCGGAGTCACTGGTGCCTCGCGTCGCTTGACCACATCAGCGACCTCAAACAGCAGCGACACAAGCACCATGCAAGAAGATAGCCCCCCTTCGGCAGCGAAGGTCGTGGTGTTGGGTGGGAGTGGGTATGTGGGACAGCACGTCCTGCAAGCGGCTTTGTACAGAGGCGCGGACGCAGTCAGTATCAACCGATCCGGCATCCCCAACACGAGTGGGAGCTGGCTCTCGCAAGTGAAGTGGGTGGCGGCCGATATTTTCAATAGTAGCGCGTGGAGCAAAGAATTGGAAGGCGCTACGGGCGTCGTCTCATGCATAGGTGCCTTTGGCTCGAATGAATTCATGGAAAAGATCAATGGAGACGCCAACGTGTTGGCCGCCGAAGTTGCTGCGAAAATGGAAGTCCCGCACTTTGTGTACGTCTCAACCGTGGAGAATAATCTGCCTGATTTTCTGCTGAAAGGGTATTTCCACGGAAAGAGGCGTGCTGAGGAGGCGGTGTTGTCGTCCTTCCCGGGCGGGAGAGGGCTGGTCTTGCGCCCCTCCTTCGTCTACGGCACCCGGGCCGTGGGGCCTCTCTCCCTCCCCTTGGCGGTGGTGGGCCGACCCCTGGAGGTCTTGTTCCGCTTTCCGCCCTTTCCGTCCCTGCGACAGACCCTTCCCGGGACACAAGCCCTCTTAGCGCCTCCTGTAGCCGTCCAGGCGGTGGCCTCGGTGGCAGCGGCGGGGGCCATGGGCGACGCTCGCGTCAAGGCGGGGGAAGGGACGAGGGAAGGGGTCTTGTCGGTGGACGACATTGTGAGGGTGGCTAGAGAGGTGTAAGGGAGGGAGGAAGGGGCGGTGTGAGAGGGGGGGAAGGAGGAGGGCTTGAGGGGGAAGAAGAGGGGCCCTTGAGGCGGAGGCGAGCGACATGGTCAAGACTGGGGCATGCTGTCGTTAGGATGGTAGGTGTCTCAAAAGAAATGGACAAATACCACGAGTCGTGAAATGCAGCGAAAAAAAAATTACCAAGCATGGCCGTCGCCAATCCTTTCTCTGAAACTGCCTGCGCTTTTCTTCAACCCTCCCTTCCCTCCCCTCGCTGCTCCTCACGCCCGTCGGTACTCGGCCCCACAGTCCCCGATCACCTTCATCAGATCCTGGCCCCGCCCGGTCACCGCCTGTAACGCCTCCTTGTCCTCTTTGTCCAGAGCGAAGGCAAAGACGGCGCGGTTGTCCTCAGTGTGGGCCTTCCCCTTCAACCCAAACCGACACCCCACGATCGCTCCCCCCACGGCCGGCTGCTCCAACACCCAGCGGACCGCCACGTTCGGGATGGAGACCTGGTGTTTCTCCGCCACGCCGTCCATGGCGTGCAGGAGCTCCTGGAAGAGGGCCCAGTCACCCCAGGTTCGGATCATGTTGTAGTACTTTTGCTGCGAGACCGTCTCAAAGCCCTTGGGGTCTGGCTTCCCTTTCCATTGCCCGCTAAAGAACCCCCCCAAGAGGGTGCCGTAGGCCAAAAGGCTCATTCCACGCGCCTTGGCCGCCGGGGCCATCAGCACGTTGGGACGCTGGTCCAAGAGGGAATACTGCACCTGATTGGAGACGAGGGGGATGCCGGCGTCGTAGATCTCGCTCATGCGCTTCGTGTCGAAGTTCGTCAGGGCCAGATGCCGGATCCCGCCGTCCTGCTGGATCTCTTGGAGGTACTGGAGGGCGTCCATGTAGTAAGGGTACCCGTACTCCCACCAGTGGAACTGGAGCAGGTCCAAACGGGTCGTGTCCATCCGCTGCAGGCTCCGCCCGATCGCCTCCTTGACTGCCGCACGGCTCACGCGCTCGGGTCGAGGGACCCATCTGAACGTGACAAAGACGAAAGAAAGGGAGTGAGGAGGGAGGAAGAGGGAGGAGAGAGGGGGGGAAGGAGAAAAGGGGAGGGATCGAGACAAGTCCCCCGGCCACCGCGACCTAGACACTCCCCGGGCCTCACTTTGTGTAGAACAAGCCTTGATCCTCTTTGGTTCCATACTCCCTTTTGTAGCTCCCGACCACGTCTTCTGCGCCGCCGTATATGTCTGAGAGGGCAAAGGAAAAGCGTCAGGGACTGAGGAGCGGTACCTCCTTGGAAGCCTCGCGCCCCCACCAAGGAGGCCGCAGGCAGGCTCCCCCAAGCATGCGACTTCCATAGGCCTGCTGTGGCTTGTGCCTCCACTTCGTCCAATCAAAGTCTTCCTGTGGACACTTCCTACCTGCTGTATCGAATGTATTGAACCCTGCCTCGAACTGCTTGCGCATGTCGCTCACGGCCGGGCCCACCTGTGGTCTGTACCCATGTCCACCCGAGAGCTGCCACATCCCATTTAGAATTTTGCAGCTTTTCATGTCTCCCCCCAGGAGGGTGTAAGCGTCCTCAGGGAGCTCTGATGAGGCTGTCAAACTTGCGGATGCCCGAGGCGTGGGTGTGTGCAAAGAAGAGGCGATAATACCCGCGGCAGCAGTCCCTAGCGAGGTTTCCATCAAGGAACGGCGAGAAAGACGTCTTGGTTGACCAGCGGTCATGAGCATGCGGGCAGATGGGCTACGCGACAGGCAGCATGAAGGTAGAACAGATGAGGAGTAGTGAATGAAAGGAGTCGAAATCAGGAATTGACGCTGAACAAGGATTCAAGCACTTACGAAGCGGATGCCCTCTTCAAAGACCCAGAGAAGGGGACCCAGGCAAGGCAAGTTCGAGATGAGGCTACTGCCAGCGTAAGCGTCACCGCCGAGAATCGCATCATCGTCAGTGTGTTTACCGCCCTTTGAATGCTCCTTGATGCTGTAGGTTCCTGAATGCGAAATTGAGTGTCAAGTAATGTCGATCGTGCTAAGGCAAGCTTTGGGCCCCAAAGACAAGGGAAATGCCAGCAAGGGGTGCTCGAAATAAAGAGTGTTTTTCCGATGTATGTCTTCACTGGGACTGCAACGACCTTCGCGACATCCGAGGGGAGGTTAGAGGACGCATGACGTCAGAGGGATTTATTTTCAACGAGGCTCCCGAATGGGTCTTGTCACACGATAAACCATCCGAAATTATCTTTAACGAGGATGAAAGACTTTCCGGAAAGAGAGATGTTCCAACGTGCAGAGTTTGCCTTTTTCTTTGCAATGTACGTTATCAAAAACATTTATGGTCCGATGTACAAGGAACTCAGATGACTCATTTTTCAGAATTTCAGTAATTTCTTGATGGAAAATTTCCCCAAATGTACCTCCTTCTCATAGCTAGTGTGATGAGTGAGCTCGATAGGTTCTTAAAATAAAGGTGCGAGATGCAAGTAAGCCAATTATCCTTCTGCATATGTGATATTAGGAGGGCAGGCCAAGATTCAAGACATGATGGCAGCGGATGTGCACCAAAGAGCGGCAAAAGAAAAATATACATAGTATCTAATGTTTCAAATAAAAACAATAGAATATAGGTTGTTTTGCTTCTGAGTGGTTGGTGCGTGCAGCCAAGCTGAGGCGAACTTGATCACATACGAAGCTGTTTGTGTGATGCAACTGACATCCCCCACGTTTGTAGAAAACGTTTGCCGATACAGCTCCAGATATGATGAAGATTTTGACTTGCCATCATATATCTACCATTAAATAATGTTTCTCGAACAAATTGTGAAAATTTCAGCACTGTATCCAACAGGCGATCGTGTGTCCTTGCATGTCAAGTTCAGAAGCTTTTGTACGATAACAGAAAAAAAATGAAAAAAGGCGCATTAAAATTTTTAAGATGCTTTTCTTTGTCAACATTTATTCCTGACTCTCCAAAATGAGGTGACATTCGTTCGGAGAGATGGGCAGGCCCTTGCCTACCCCATCTTCTGCTGCACGCAGAGCTTGTACTGATATGTCATCGGCGTTGAATTTATCACATATGCGAGCAACACCCACGCATTCAGTAAAATTCATAGTTACTAATACTATATTATGTATATTCATATACATGAGGGGGAAAGCATGGAGGCTAAGTTAAGATTTTCAAGCTTGTCAACGATCATTTATACCAAGTAATCCTTCTGACCTCCCCATTCCGTGCTCTGCAAAGCTGCCATCTCTGTAACTCCCACAAATATTTTTGTTAAATGGAAAAATATATCATGAAATTATGGCACGCTATTTTAGGGTTGTGCGCCTGATTTATTACGTTTCGACATAAAAATGGTGCATTTCAATCTGCGCCATGAAGAAACGGGTGATCAGCCGTTAAGAGAGCAACGGTCAAGGAAGTCAGCGAGGATGGGAACATCATGGGCCTTGGACGAGTCCACTCTTGCTTGATTACTATCAACCGCCTACTGAGGGATTGCGTCGCTTACATGTGATCATCATTTAAATATGCACCTTCAGCTGTTGTAATGCAGGCTCAAAGGTGTCCTTGAGTCTCTTCCCAGAACCAAGTTCAAGCAAGAATTTGAGACGCCAGCATCAGGTGGCGTCATCATCAAAAGGGCCCCAACATGAGTACGCGCAGTGCCTTGCAGAACCAGCCGATACCTCTCATAAAGATTTCGTATGGGAAGCGCAAGTATCTCTCCTCGGATCGAGAAACAAAGCGTCCCAACAGCATGCCACAATATCAAAAGAGAAATGCGTTCACAGCCTGCCTCCAGAGCTTTTGCGGTAAACGTATTCGAAAATGGGGCGGTAGTCTCCGTCGTTTTCTGTTGGGTGAGCTTCCTGCATCATTATCCCTACCAACTAAAATTCGCATCGTCCTCGAGGTGAGAAACATGGCAATGCGCATAGCGGGCATGCATTATGGGCTCGCGTGATATGTATAATTCGAGGGTGTATTCGTGAAGGGTGGTTGAGCAAGCTTTAAAGTTGGTGATGACACTTTCAATCGTGCCGAGGCTTGGCATTGTATAGAATCCAGTGATGAGCTAGTAGACAAATCACAAACGACCGCCGGCAGGCATTTTTTAAATTTTTATGGCGCTGGGTCGAGAACGAGCAGGAGAGGAAAACGAGTGAGTCGGCAGTCAGATCATTCACCGTGCTTGCGTCTAATTTTTGTTTAATTTGTCTTTGACTTTTCCGCCAGACGCGAAGGCTGGGTCATCTATGGGTGACATATCAGGTCGTCGTCACCTTCATCTCTTGCGCGTACTTTGCCCTCTCGTCCGCTTACCGACGAAACGCAGAGGGCTTCTTGATCGAGGAGAATGTCTTTGGCGCATCAGTTCTTGCCGATCTGCTTCTGCGCTTCTATGCGTCGGATCACAGGTACGTAGAGCGTCCCGATGGTTGTTGCTGGGAAATCCGGGGTCGGAGGAGGCCTGTGTGCGGAACGGACTGAAGCGGAAGGCTTCCCCGCCGTATCCCGAGGCTCACCCCTGCACACTCACTCAAAGATACGCGTACAATTTCACATATCCATTGCCCAGGAAATGGTTCTTTTTAGAAAGGCGGACGGTTATCGACGTCCTAGCCGTGGTCCCCGTCTTCACTGACATCCTGCGGGCCCTGATCACCGACCCCGCCAGGCAGACTGGTCTGAATAACGCCATCTTCCTCCAAGCCGTTCAGGTCTTTAAGCTGATCCGCATTCTCCGTGTCTTCTATGTGGGCAGGCAATTCTCCTCGCCCGCCATTCGCCAATTCATTGTCTTGGTGCTTGCGGTGCTCTGTATCATCTACATCTTTGCTTGCCTCATTAATATGGCCGAAGGTATCCCTTTCGGCTCCGCTGTCTACTTCTCCGTCGTCACGCTCGCCACGGTGGGCTACGGTGACGTGAATGTGGCCACAAACATGGGCCGTGTCTTTGTGAGCTGTCTTATAT